ATATATATATATTTATTTAATATATATTTTACCATTAATATATTTGTTTAATATATTAATGGTAAAATGTTTTATTTTTTTATGCACGAGGCTCTAAGGAAATAATCAGAATAAAATTATTTGATACATAACTGATGCAGAACACTAAAGTCAAACAAACAATAATAATGCAAAACTACCTAAAATGATGTTCACAGTTTCAAATTTTAATTTCTTTCTGTACAAATTTTTATCATAGTTTTAACACGAACATTTTCTTCTTTGTAAGTAGAATTCCACACTTAGAAATTATTTAAATTCAAATGTTAAATTATGGTAAACTCTCCTCTTTGGCTAGTAAAATTTTCAAATAAATTCTCTTAAGTTGGATTTATCTGAATTCTTCCTTTGTTATAATTCTCTAAAAGCCTAAAATTATCCTAAAATGAACAAGCAAAACTCTAGTGATGAGAAAGTAAGATTAGATAAATCAGTAGGTTCTACTCTTAACTTTGCTCTCACCCAAATATCCAGTAAAGGTCTGTCTGTTTCCTTCCACTGGAGCCAAGTCACTTGTTTCATCTTGAAACATCAGGTTTTCTACGTAATCGTACGTCCTACTTCTTCCAAACAAATAAAAGGTTTCATCATTAAACTCATTGATTGAACCAAATGTATCACTTCCTATATATGGAGGGACAGTTGCATTGGTGATATTATATCTGTTTCTATTCCCAGAGAACCTATTGTTATTGTGAAAAACCTCGGCTGCTTTCTGAAATAGCAAGTTAACATAAAAGATGTTTTTAGAACCACAAAAACAAAATGCACAGAAAACAGTTTAAACACTCACAAAATATATATCACCTGTTTATCATTTTAATTTTTAGCTTAGAAAATATTATGGGAAAAAATCGTAAAGTTGTCATTGGAAAAAATTATCAGTTTAGACCATCTCTTGCATTTAGATTGTAACGAGAAATAAAATATGTCTTTAAATTTTTATGGATGTAATTGTTTGTTTTGTTTTTTTTTCCTTTATCATTTCTCCTCTTAATTTTTGATTTTTTTCCAACTTAGATAAATAAAAATTCTTTCAAATTAACTTTTTAAACTTTTTATTCTCAATTAATTTGTTTTTCAATATGAGTTTTAAAAGAACTTTTTTGAATTTTCATATAAATTTGTATTAATTATTTTTTTATGATCTTATCTAAATATCCAAAGTAATTCCTTAAAAAAAAAGTTAATATCTAAACATATATATATATATATACTTTACAGTTTGTGTTAATGTCTTAAGTCATACTTTAATGTATCTTTATAGGTTGTTTTAATGTCTTAAGTCACACTTTGATGTATCTTTATAGTTTGTGTTAATGTCTTAAGTCACACTTTAATGTATCTTTATAGGTTGTTTTAATGTCTTAAGTCACACTTTGATGTATCTTTATAGTTTGTGTTAATGTCTTAAGTCACACTTTGATGTATCTTTATAGTTTGTGCCAGTGTCTTAAGTCACACTTTGATGTATCTTTATAGTTTGTGTTAATGTCTTAAGTCACACATTGATGTATCTTTATAGTTTGTGTTAATGTCTTAAGTCACACTTTGATGTGTCTTTATAGTTTGTGCCAGTGTCTTAAGTCATACATTGATGTATCTTTACAGTTTGTGTTAATGCCTTAAGCCATACATTGATGTATCTTTACAGTTTGTGCCAGTGTCTTAAGTCACACTTTGATGTATCTTTATAGTTTGTGCCAGTGTCTTAAGTCATACATTGATGTATCTTTACAGTTTGTGCCAGTGTCTTAAGCCATACATTGATGTATCTTTACAGTTTGTGCCAGTGTCTTAAGTCACACTTTGATGTATCTTTATAGTTTGTGCCAGTGTCTTAAGTAGTACTTTGATGTATCTTCTTAAGTCATATTTTGAGTATATTTATAATTAGCAACACTACCTAGAGTCACCAGTCAATGATTTAAGGGGGTAAATTAAAATCCCAATACTCTAGACGGAAGTGACAGTACGTATTTTTACAACATTACCATCAAAAACTTCTGATACATTTTCCGTGTTTCGGGAAGAGCAGCAGAACTGGTCACAACAGCATGAGAAGGTACAAACCCCCAGTTACAAGAGTTGTAGTCTCTGATGGATCTGGTTCCACCATGAGGACAAAGTAAACGGAACTGCGACATGGAGAGTTGCTGGTACTTCGGTTTGGCTAATTCTTCTTCTACCGTTGTATGTTTTAGAAAAGCAACGTCTCCTTTGTTAACAAAACAAGAAAAGGCTCCTCCAAACTCAACATAGGGGTCACTTCCAGAGCAACGATCTCCCTTTTGTGTCGCACATAAGTTACACATCTTCTGTGGGTTGTCGCCTGGTGATATTAAGATTTATATACTTTAAGTAAAATGAATGAAACAAGTTACTAAGCTGATACCCGTCTCAAATTATCTAAACTTAAGATAACTCGGCACTGAAAATACATCTATATGTAAATCTATCTAGTTACATATTTGTAAAGCACAGTAAAAATACCGTAATCAAGCACTGAAAAAAAAGACAAGTTAGCGATAAATCAAGATTTATTCAACACAATACAAAACAACAACTGAAAATTATTTTATATACTTCTCAGAAATACTGACATTGATAACAAAAATATATCAGATGCATAGTTTTGTTCAAGCAAAAAAAAAATTACTTGTATCCAATTGTAACTTTTCAGAACAATTCTAAAACCTGGAAATAAAAACAAATATTTTAAAAAAGATTCTTACCAGCAGGATGATATTTGTCTTACCAGTTATACCGTACGTGGCTATAAGTACTCTTACCAGTTGGATTGTATTTGTCGATAAGGGAATTCGGTGCACAACTGTCGTTAAAAAATTCAGCAGCAGTTTTTATTATGTTGTTACAATCGGTGATTGCTAGAACTTCTGTTTCGATCAGTGTTGCCATGGGGATGATCCAACCGGCCATCTGCCCGACACCGGTAAAGCATGCTTTCTTGTCTCGCAAGTCTTCCAAACTTTCAATCGTAGAACGTGTGTGAATAACTGCCACAGCATAGAATCCAGCAGTTTTTTCTGTCAAATAAATTATAAACATATTTTGATAAACAGGTTTAAATAATTATACCCAAAACTCGAGAGCTTTTGAACAGTCGACCGTTCTTCTTCGGAAGTAAAGAATAAACACCATTTAATCGCCCGAAGAAGAATAGTCAACTACTCAAAAGCACTCAAGTTTTGGGTCTTTCTTTGAAATTCATTGCACCTTTTGTGCGTGATCCCGTGTGTTAAATCTTTTATCATGATTAATACAACGTCAAATAGTAACATACTGGTATTCATCATTCAAGTTCCCAAGTTTAATACTAGAAAATAAAATTTTTTTCCCACCTCATTACTTTTACATTATCTACCATATATATTAGTCCTAGAGTTCTTTAAACACTACTTAAGAGCTTATGTCATTGTTTGTTATAATCAGATCTTAAAAAACAAACGAGTCATAGTAATAATGTAAACAAAAACAACATCAATACTGAAATTAGCTCCACTAATAACCGCTATTTATTTTACATATAAATGGGGATTAATTTCATCTAACTTTTTTTTTGTAATTTTTGCATTGGGTGTTGTGCAGCACGTACTCTGTCCAAAGTTAACTTTTAGTTTGTATTTCTACCTATCACATCTTCATCAATGTCACCATCTCAACCTTCCATCACATTGTTTTTCAAGATGTCGTTAGTAATCTCATTCATGTTTCTTATCACAAGTTAATGAGCTGATATTAATTCTTAACAGATAAGTTTTAGGGTTTTTGTTGCAGCATTCTCACAGCCAAAATCTAGCTCTGGAGTAGAAAATCCCTTTAACTATATGCCAGAGTGACATCTATTCACTCAGACTTGAATATGTTTATTTCTTATTAATTTAATCTCTAATCTAGTCTTCAACTCGTGATGTAACTTTAGTCTTTAACTCGTGATGTAACTTTAGTCTTTAACTCGTGATGTGACTTTAGTCTTTAACTCGTGATGTGACTTTAGTCTTTAACTCGTGATGTGACTTTAGTCTTTAACTCGTGATGTACTTTAGTCTTTAACTCGTGATGTGACTTTAGTCTTCAACTCGTGATGTGACTTTAGTCTTCAACTCGTGATGTGACTTTAGTCTTTAACTCGTGATGTGACTTTAGTCTTTAACTCGTGATGTGACTTTAGTCTTCAACTCGTGATGTGACTTTAGTCTTCAACTCGTGATGTGACTTTAGTCTTTAACTCGTGATGTAACTTTAGTCTTTAACTTGTGATCTTCTCCATTATTTTATATTCTATTGTTTAGTATACAGATTCTTTAAGAAATATCTTACTTGACACCTTTAATATTTACCAGCCTGTTTCAACTGCACTAAATCAATTGAAGCACGAGTAGCATCATCAATTACACTAAAAACAACAAATATTTAAATATAGGAATAAAATTATGTTTTCTGAATACATTGTATCTATGATAATATTACTGTACTTTTAATTATATTATGATAGACACTGTTTAATCCAGTACACTGACTGATAAAAATTGAATTGTATTTTCTTTATATGTTCAACTATATCAACAATATAACTTCTGTCGTTAGGAATGCTTTTTATTTATAACTTCTGTCGTTAGGACTGCTTTTTATATAATTCAATTCATATTCCAAATTACTAGAATGTAGAATCAGAACAAATTTTAAATGCTCTATCTGTATAAGTATGAAAAGTTGCTAATTTTTTAAAAATGGAGGACGTATGTTAAGCAAAACCTTCAGATTAACAATTTAAAAAAAAGTTGGATTGCTTATAATTTAGATATGGTTAAAAAACTTATTGTAAACAAACACAATAAAAATGCACAATTGCTTTGAAATCAAAACAAATTTTAAATTTACAATTTTATAAATCAAAATGTCACAGGAAAGTTTTAAAAAAAAGTTGAAAGACATAAAAATAAATAATTGAAATTACAACAAAGGTAAGCATTTTTAATTGCTTGAAAAAAACATATAATGAAATATTTTGAAATTAATACAAAATATCCCAGACAAAATTTCAAACTATTTTATCCAGCAGATTTTTTTTTGATTTTTTGCAATACCATAAAACAAACCATACAATACTTGCTTTGAAGCAACACAAATAATAAAATATAGAAATTATCAAATATATTTTGTATAGAATTTTAAAAAAATTGAAAGTTTTACTGGCTGTTTTAAAAAAAAATATTTTTTGTAAATACCTGCACCATATCGCTCGCTCAAAATAGGAACAAGGCTGTGGAAACGGCCAGCCACGTAAACCTCACCCGCATCTAATGTCATGAGGTTAGCACGACCTCCATCTATCATATTCATACAAAGGTTTTTGTCTTCTCCTCTTCTGCATTCAAGTTGTACATCAAATTTGTAACTATTTCTAATAGCATCAGCAAAATCTTTGCATTTTTGAAATTCCACATGACTTACGGTACACCAAGATACTGTTTCCCCCTCTATGCCTCTACAAACTGAAAGATAAATAAAATAAAAGGTTTCTTCTGATCTAAAACTAAAAAATATTCAAGCATTTCTATATAAATATCAAAGGCTTGTATATGTACCTCGTTATTCTACAAAGGTGCAAAGACATCAGTTAGTAACCAAGTTGAAAACACAATAATGGCTACCTTTTACTTTTGACTAATTACAACATTAACAGGCCCCTCAAGAGCCAGTGTTGAAAACAAAAACTACTCAATCTAGTTTTTTTTTTATTTGAACTGAAATTTTTTGGACATTTTTATAGGCTAAAAAGAAGGCATTTCCTACACTCTTTTAGCATTGAGGCTGCTAAAAGTGATTTGAAGTAGCAAGGTGACTGAAATTCGTTAGTGCATCACAAGTTTAATGGGCAAGCAAAAGAAGCATGGAAGTCTCCAAATGACACACAGAGGTATTCAGGAACCATTTAGAACCACCCTGGTAGATACTATATTAGATGATTATATTTGTGACAACAAATTTAGCCCAACACCAACTAAACCTCCAAATTTCTTAGCATATATTATTCATATATTTTAAATTTAACTGCATTATTGCTAATTATACAGTCACTGGTCTCCTCAAAATACTGTCAAGTTTTGCTCTGAGCATAAATGGGTACACTTGATTAAAAACTTTAAAAATTCATCACATTGGTTGATAGGCAGTAAAAACTAAAATAAAGTAAATTGAATCCCAAAAATCAGGTACCCCATCTCTGGTAACATTATTTTTGTTGTGTAATTCACCAACCTTATATATATATATATATATTTGTTTTTTTATTAGCTGTCTTAAGTTTTACTGTTAGACATGTAAAATCGCAAGTTCACCTTCAATTTTCGAAGGCGGTTATTTAATTTTAAATTTTATTCTAATGTCTAGTGCTAGTTGTATTAGGAATAAACAACTAATTAATATTAAAAAGCGAAAGGCCTCGTCGGCACTGGATAAGGAAGATGTATAGTGGTTTACATAGAACGTATTTTCCTTTGCTTTCAAATTCAAGTTTCGGGTTTACTCGTAGGTTCTTCTCTTACAAATTACAGTTACACTTACAAGAGTAAGGACCTTAGAATAATTTATTCCTATTATTACTGGCACTACTGATACTAGTAGATACAACTACTAGGTAAGAAGTAAGAGAAAAACCTAAATGTTCGACCATTTGCATTAACCCTAATATATGTTGCAACTTAAATGTTCGACCATTTGCATTAACCCTAATATATGTTGCAATTGCAAGGAAGCACACTTTTTAAATTTATGTGGGTTTTTTTCGAAACTCACCGTGTACAAATAAAATGAAGAAACTAAAAATAAAAAGGATGATTTGTTTTTCTATTTCAAACATCGTAGTTTTAAATCCAACCCCACCCAAGTAAAGTAATTTCAGAACAACGATTTTATCTTAGCGCCATCTGAGATACAATAGTTTTTGTCTTATGTATGATGTTTTTGTTTTATATTCTGAATATAAATAATCATCAGAACGCAATATTTAGAAACTTCAATTTAAATTAGATTTTTAAAAGTTATATATTTTAACTTTAATAATCCATAGAAAGGTATATTATTTGGTGGAGTTGTTTAAAAAGTGTAATAATATTGATCCCGAGTACTAAAGTAAAATCTGACTATAAAGTAGCACGATAAAGAGGAAATTAAGCATAAGACAAGTATTAATTTTTTTATTGAATAAAACATAATGTCTGGTCACTTAGGATCTTACCAGAAAATGGGCGAGTCTTTATTAACAATAATGAATCTAGGGAATTTGTCTGAAAGGTGTCTGAGAAAATAATGATGGGTATTTACCACTGAGACAATTGTCACTATTAGACCTCAGACACCCTCATGTAGAATAAACTGCTGTCGCCACTGGAATCTGTGGAAAACGGCCTAATCAGAAAATGTAGAGTTTGGTAAGATTATGAAACAAAAACAAAAAATTCTGTCAGCACTAACTTAAAGATAATGATGGACAGTCACACGTCATCACAGCCACAAATGGTTCCTTATCACACAAATAACGAGAGATCTGGTTGAACAACCATAGTCTCGTAGAGCAAGAACAGGTGCATAAGACTGATGGAGCATTCAAACTTTTTACAAGTAACACAGGGGTGGAACTGGGAGTCATGTTTTCCTCTGGAGTACTAAAAGCAACGAACTGCAAAAATACAGTGCTACCAGTATAATATTTCTGAACGACTCGTAGGTAGTTTATTGAATAAAACTCTGAGTAATTGGTCCCCAAATGGATGATAAGATCATCACCGCGAAGTATGTGCCAGGCTATGCAGGAGTAAAACTAAACGAGGAAGCTGACAAGCACGCAAGAAAATCCACTATATAAAATATGACACAATTCTATTGGCAGGATATCGACCATTTCTGCAACAGTAAAGTGAATATGGCAACCATGGAATGAGACTGTTGGTAAACAAAGTACCATACGGTGTAGCAAGGAAAAGCAAAATGTTGAGAATCAATAAGATAGTATATAACCAGAAAGCCACTGGTGACATCAGTAAAGGAACATTCTTCCACCGTCTGCGAGGCAAATGATCTCCAAACGAGGAGTCAGCTCCTGTCGGTGCAAACCACGAAATTGTCACATAGTACCCAAATCAACATAGCAATAACACTCAGTTCCTAGATGGCACTGTCACTTATGCACACAGTCTAGGTTAGTTTAAAACAACATGCAAATATTTCTACCTGTATCATAATTTGAAAAAAGATTTTTGAAAGATAAGATAGTTTTAACATTCTATTTTTTCACTGGATATTCATTTAGTAAATATTATAATATAAAGTCAAAAAAGGTTTAATATTTTCAGGGGCGGATTGGCCTATCGGGATACCGGGACTTGTCCCGGTGGGCCGATAGTCCAACTCAATTTTGGGCCGATCTACATAAAAGTATTGC